ATAGTCCACGCGGGATGTGGGTAAAACACGAGAAAAGTTTGTAAATCACGAGCCGGATGTGTTCTATTGCTTTTATGAAATAATTATGGTTTGGCGGTGCAAGAAACGATTGGTTTTGAGCATCTGCAATCAAGACGCCTCAATTATTTTATAAATTTATCTTTACGGAGCTCCAGCCATGAACATCATGTCTCTAATATATAGATACACTACTCAACACTAAGGAATAACTTGAATTATTTAATATAAACCAATCACCGAACCTTGATCAGCCATTAAGGCTTTGACATCATTCTGAAGTTTTTCTTTAGCAGCACTTGTCTTTGAGCCAGACCTCTGAAACGCCGTCAGCTTCGCCTTGATGGCTTGTCTCATGGCTTCTTGACTCTGTCGCGCGGAAGTTAGAGTTTTTTTGAAGAATAATCTGTTCGACTCCATGACATTTAAAAGATCTCCAACAGCCCGCCATTCTTGAGGCAGCTCAGCAAGAAAGCATTGAAGCGCTAAAGAAGCAAGAGTCTTGCTGGCCATGTTAGCTTTGCCTGCTTTAGCCAAAGCCATAGCTTCGAGCATAGAAGCCTGTTCGAACATTTTCTTCCCGCCATGGGACATGAAGTAAGTTTGGGAAGCTGGATCCGCCCCGGCTGTGCCTCCGTAAACATCTACCAAAGACGATAGTACTTCGTCATCGTTAAGCTGTGCATTTACAGTACTGGCTAGAGCTAAGAGCGCGACCACAGCAACGAATGAAACAGACTTCTTCATAGCTTAGATTCTTCAAGAACGTGAACTTTGACAAACATCTGATTCCAATCACCTGATCACCAATCAATCACCTGATTCCAATCACCTGATAAACAAAAGTATGAAAATTTATAAACTCAAACGGTGGCTATCATTTTCTAAAAGACAAATAAAAAAACAATTATCATGTGATGTCTGTCAATCTGGATTATCAGTCAAGGAGTTCAATTATTCCTCGGTAGTAAGGAATCGGGATGTCCAAATGACACCTCCTCGGTCTTTTCGGTTTTTAGCGGGGTACTGTATGTTTCTCGTTCCATGGAGTATCACTAGACTCGATAAAGTCTAAAACTAAGACATCCCTTTGTCCAGAAACGTCTAGATTCATTGGATTGAAAGCTTGAACTATTGCAGTTTTGTTCACAAAGCAATGGTTTGAACTGAATTAGTGTTAAGTTCTATTTTTGTAGGTACCGTAATGCCCGTAAGCATTATGTGAAAATAATGCCCCGGAATTACCTTCATCAAAGCTGCGTGGGACTGATTCATCGAGGAGTAAAATCAACCATAAATACAAGCGTTTTTATAAACAGATTTACTTATTTTTGCCATGAAAAGCAACTCGTGGGACTTTTTTTTATCTCGAATTATAAATAGTTACACTTTTACACTGAAATATTCGAGGTGCGTTTATATTTGTTCAAACAATTCTTTTACATATACTTCGAATGTTTTTGTTTTCTTGGTATGTAAATTTTTTCCGGTACCAAGTGACTGTTTAACACCGATAAAAACTGTAGGTGTAGGTCAGTGAAGGCGATCACGACCACTGAATGCGGACAGTCGAACAGTTGGGAGAATCAAAAATCAGTTAAAGGGGTATACTGAATGACAGGAAGACCCGGATGCGTCAATTCAAGGGACCCACACAGTAAAGTTTGTGATTTCGTGGAAAAAGTTTATATGGAATTTTTAACCCAAACAACATTTCTGCCGCTTGAAAAGAGTCTTACTAAGTTCACAGATACGTAAATGAGAGAGACTGCACAGCAATGGAACATTCATCTTAAGCTTACTCAGGTATCAATTAAAATAATCACAATTGATAAAGAAGCCTTATAGTCGAAAACTTACCGCAGCGACCGTCTTCCTCTATTGACAGTTCCACCGATGCTGTGGACTGGTTTTGGATACTTTTTGTTACGTGAGATAAATTATTTCATGCAAAGCAAACAGACCAATATGTTAGTGTTGCATTATTAATCTGTATGTTGTGACCTCTACTAGGGATCAAATACGGTTACACCCGTCGAATATTTTACGATCAACTACATTGCATTGCGCCTAAAAAATAAAAACGATTTTTTTTCCACTGTACATTCATCCCCAGTGAAGTGAAGTCTATACGGTGGTTCTTCTATTTCTTGGGCGAAAAAAAAATTTATTTAGATACTGTGTGTAGAGTTGCCCATCCTGCAAAAAAGTATCTACACAGGACAAAACGTTAAAAAGACGAAAAGCTGCATTATAGGTGAATTGTCAATTTGTTTATAGAATTTTCTGAAGCTTTTCAGTATGGAAAGATTTTTCGTTTATCTATTATCTTGCAAGAGAAAAATCTGAACTGAGTAAACACAACCAGCAAAGAGAGACAAATTAAATCAAACATTAACTGGATCCCAAGTTTAAATAAAACCAGCTACTACCGGTCCCTTCTTTGTTCATTGACAAATTATCAGCATTGATGGGAAAATGGGTTATAACAGAAAGGATGCTACAATAATTAAGTGAAATAATTAAAATTAAAAGAAATAAATAAATCGTTAAAGAAATAATTTCCTCTAACTGGGAAGAAGTAAAAAGTATTCATTTAACTTAAGGCGTCTATCTTTACTGACGGATGAAATATTTTTAGTGACACATGGGTGTAGCGATTTGATTCTTTTGTATCATAAGAGTTTCGGCTGCCGTTTACCTCGATTAAGTAACGTGTATATGGTAAATAATTCAGTAAATTGACGCCACAGTGACCATGGTTTGTGTGTTTTGCCAGCTTGTGCGGAAAATAAACTTTACAATGTAGCAGTTTTAGAATAGAAGAAGAACCTTCACAAGATAAATATCATAGTCAAGACCATTGTCAGGTATAACAGACAAGAAAAAAGGCTTGACATTGAGCGATAAGTGAAAAAGCTTTCTTCCAGGTAAGAACACATCAAAACTTGGAACAAGTTTTGTAATTTGTTTGTACTTTCTATCTTTTGGAGCTGGAAAAGATGAGTGCTTCTTTGAGATTGAGGTCTATCAAACGATGCCTTTTACCGCAGTGCCAGCCTTACAACTCGTATCGCGTATTTCATAAAATGTGCCTTATATCTCACAGAAAAGTTAAAAAATGGTTAAGTCTGCTCTCTAGCTAAGTGGCTTATATCGCCGTAGCTTATCCCACTTTCTGTGGCGTGAAACGACTGGGAGTATCACTTTTGGACAAGATACTTGTTCATTGTTGTTTACTCCACAGCATTTTGTTGCGCTCCCTGGGATTTGTCGGAACACATTTATACTCCTTAGCTATGAAACTCTTTACAGTGGCCAATTTACGTTATCAACTCAGTTGATAATGCTAATTTATCCTGCTATAATCCTAGACTCAGTTGTTCGGAAAGGGATTAACGCCAATTTAGGATTAAAAGTTAAGCTTAGCTTTAATTTCTCATGTCGAAGAGCGTGTATAAGAGCTAGGGTTTTTTGCGTCTTCTCAATACGACTCAAAACTAACGGGGGAAAATTAAAAAAGAAAATTCCTTTCGCAGAGCTTTAAAGCTAAATTAAAACTTTGAGCGGCTTGAATCCAGGCTTATCGACGTGAAGTTCAGCCCGCTTACCTCAACCACAGGCCATAACGTCTCCCAAAGTTCTGAAAGGAATAGGTTTATCATCTTGTGTTTTACAGCGTGTGTTGTTTGGAACTGTTAGACTCTTACAGAAGCGAGCACCACTTTCAATCTACTTAGTACTTAAAAAAAATGATTTACCGGTAGATCAGATATCTTAAGATTTAGGGAATGAGGTTTATTATTACCCTGAGTCTAATAACGCGGGTTGTTTCGAATTTTTAGAATCTACAGATGCTCACACCACTTTCAATCGACTTCGTACTTACAGAAAATAAGTTAGATCTATAAAAAAATCGATTACAAGGGAAAGTACAGAGGAGTTTCCATGGTGCTAATTTTCTCCTTGTTTTAAAAAGAACGTTTTCCTAGAGCTGAATTCTTTAAGCGAACTAGAAACAAAATAAAGCAGTAAAGTAAGTAAAGAACAGTAAACAGACTGGTTGATACTTAGAGCGCAAATCAACAAAGAGGGTAACGTAACTGGACAGGTCTTATCGCCCCCTTGTTTGCCATCTGAACGATCGGAAGACTGAGAGAGACTGGTAACCATCCATTACGTAGAGCTTAAAGCATTTAACATGCTCTGATTCAGTTTGACCGGATAAACCCGTTGCTTTTTTATACATATTATTATCAGAATTTAACTGACGGTAGTGATATGTCAAGAAAGTGGATTCAGTTTTACTTTCCCGACAAAAAGTGCCTTGGGAAATGAAATCCTTTACAAAAAGATGTCTGCCTTCGATTTTGATTTTAAAGCCTTTAAAACCAAGATACATAAGAACGTGAAACAGAAAATAAAACACCAGAATCTGAAAATACTGCAAAAACGGTGAAATAAGAATCAATATACTTTCATAAAGAAGTCGATCGAATGTTGTTTTGGCAATGGCTTGGAACTACTGTCTTCTTTATCAATATAAGCAATGCGTGAGGATTCCGCAGTCTTTCGAATTGGCAGAAATCCTTTATTTGTCACTATGGTATTATCTGACGCTGTCAGAGTTATAGACGAAGGGCTAACGCTCGAAACGTCAGCTTAGTTATCAACTCAGTTGATAAAACCAAATTACCTTGTCATACTTCCTCACCGACGCAGCACCACAGTTTATTTAGAAACTTACCTTTGTTCATGACTCGACTGTCTTCGAAAGTAAAACCTTACTATCTCGGAGTGTCAACCTCGAGATATCATGTGGCAAATACTTAATAAAATATAAAGGGCTTCGAGTTGGCAGAAATTTATATGTTACTGATTTTGATCTGGCAAGATTCTGCTGTGATACAAGACACATTGTGGACCACTTTGTCTACTTTAGCAGATTTCTGTAGCTTGTCGCTGTCTTCTCAACATAAAGAATTGTCCAGAGGTGAATCGAGGGTGGACGCTGAGCGTGGACAATGAACTCACTGCCTCTCTTGCTTCTGGTGGTCTTTGTATTAGGCTACTCAGGTAATGAACGTAAACCCTTAAACTCCCAAGATCTAATTGTTAATTCTCCCCTTTAGATGTTGCAAATTTCCTAATGAATTAGTAACGAGAGTTTGGTGTTAGATCAAGATAACTTCTATCTGATAAGTTTGAGTATTCTCATAAGATGTGTGTTAGATAATTTATGGATATTATAGGGAGAAGTAGCATGTTAATCACGTTAAGGCCTCAAAAGGTTAAGTATCTGTTGAGTGATAACTTTGCTTTAGCTGAATTAAAGAACCTTTTTCCACTAAATTGTTTGATGAAGATTCACTACGATTTCCAAATGATAACGGCGTCATAAAACAAGGCCAACAAGTTAAGTGTAAATAGAAAAAATATATATATTCCTAGCGTGATCATATTGTATTTTCAGGCGTTAACAGTAGATTACTGCGTTATGGAGAACAAGTGTCAAACCACAATGAAACAGGTGAACTTTAGCAGATGCCTAATTCGACTTGTGGCTACTTTTGAGATAACGTAACTGATATTAAGTTCGATAGGAACATAATGATGATGTGATATTAATGCATCTCGTTTACTAAGCAGAACAAAATCACTGAAAGTAAAGCGGAGTGGCTGGGTTCTGTTTGTTGTAAACCATAAGCTTGACACCCATTGTGCCATATTTTGATCTCGAAGGAAAGGAAGCCGTTTATTTGAGTTAGAACTTGATCTTATGAAAGACAATCTACTAGACCTTAAATGATTTCCATCAAAAAGGAAAAATGTTGGAAAGTTCTTATAACAAAACTAGCGCTTTCGGGAGGGAACTGGGGAGGCAATAAGACTTTTTTGCTTTAAATCTGATGAAAAACAGGCGTGTGACTTGACCTGAAATAGTTTAAGTATTCCTTATCAAAGAGTCCCATATATAAAAAATTTAACCGGGGTCTCAAGTTACATGAAACGAGTAACTTCCTTTTGTATTAAATTTTACCATTTTTGAATTACAGCATTTTTAGAACAGATCTGCCCAAAGCCTAATAGCAGGGATCGAAAGTACGTTCGAATCAAGACCTTCAATGACAAGTACGTGTGGGCTTACCCCACACATAAAGGTGATACGTCATACCTGCGTACGCGCTGTTGCGGTGCAAAAGATGCCGTTGGACGAAAAGATATAACCATACCTGGAACAAAAACAACATTCATTGTTCACTGCCTTAGAGCCAACAATGAAAATGTATTCAGATTTGAGATTCTCTCCAGCTCCAAAAATCCATCTGGCTATTACTTCGACGCAGATCCAGTTTACTCTCAGTATGGCGTGTACGCCAACAAGCTGACGAGAGTCAGTGCCAAAGACCGGTACAGATTCAATTTTATCGTATCTCGCAAGAGGGGCCCTGTGATTGGCATCCGAACTCAAGGAAAAGCAGGTGAAAGGTATGAAAGTATGAGGAGTAACTGGTTGAAGTTTCATGATGGCGGCCGTGGAAGTGTTACGGGATATAAGAACCTTTATACTAGAAACTTCCCAAGCATGGAGGACACATTTACATTAGAAGCAGGTATTTGAGCAAATTTTTAGCGCTAAATGATATGGGAACCTTCACACCAACACGAAAATATTAGAATAAGAAAGACAACCACTTGTTGAACTCAGTCGAGAAATAAGGGGAAATGGAGTGTTATTTTATTTTATTTGAGGGTGGGGGGCGGTGAGTAACGGGTGTAGATCAAAGGAACCGTCCGAATCCTTATAAGGAATGGAACCCAGACCTTCAGATTTATGCTCACATGCTTTATCACTGAGCTTCAGAGAACTAGATGTTGATCCAGAGCATTCCTCACCTAAATTTGTGACAAGCATCCCACATACAGTATCTGTATTTATTTGCGGGTGGGGGGCGACACTGACTCAAACGAAAAGCACTCTGGTATTGTGTGTTTTAACAAAACCAGGTAAATGGATACTGTACTTTGAAAATCTTACTGGTATAAATTATGATTTTTACTCTTTTTAGTACCCAGCGGATGCGTGACTCCTGGTGAGTATGTATTACAGATGTCAGTTATGGCCGCACCATGGCATACCAGTCAGGAGGACTGTGAGAGTAAACCAGATAGATGCTTTTGGTCGGATGGGTGGGATACACGAAGGCGCAATATGATGACAGCCATATGCTACTACAGCAAAGGTAGGAAAATTATCATCTAAGAGCCATCTCTATAAAGAAGAAAAATTAGATGGGCTTGAAACCTTCATCTTTAAGACTTGGTAAAATTTACCCTCCTATATAAGTTGAACATCACGCAGTTATAACCATCATCATTAGCGAAGCTCCTTTTGAGTTGTTAGCATCGAAAGCCGAATGCCGCTGTGCTTTGCTCAAACACTGAAAGCTCATTCAAAAGCTCTGAAGGCAGTTGATATTCTAAATTTGAAAAGTTCTCACAACAAACCTGTGCATGTCAGGTTGACCACGCAGCAACTGCTTTGCTCATTGTGTCATTTTTATTTGCTAGATTCGGTGTGTTATCAGTACAGGGGAGCCAAGATAAAGTACCTGCGCTTGTCAGCTAAACAATGTGAAGCTGAAAACCACTGCTACAATTACAAGAATAACAAATGTTACGATGTACTTTGATGATAATATAAGCTCTGTACTGTGCAAATAAATTTTCCCTGAAGTGATTATTTCTTTTCTTATTTAGCATCTCACAATGCGAACATGTATCTTTCGAGATAAAAAGAACAGCAGTATATCCCATTTTAGTGCTGATGCACAGCCAGCCCATTTTAGTGCTGATGCACAGCCAACCCATTTTAGTGCTGATGCACAGCCAGCCCATTTTAGTGCTGATGCACAGCCAGCCCATTTTCTCGCATGATTAATCATGGAGTAATTTATCTCACATTTTTGACACACAGATCAGTCAGTCCAGTAATGAGAATGAAGATAGTTGTAACCTATTGCCTTGACTTAACTTTTTCGTCAGAGCTATCAAAAATCTCTTGAACGTGATTGGCTATCAGCAATACAATTGGAGCACAAATGGAACAGTGTACCCGTCATGCTTATGACTGGACAGTTTGATAGGACAGTTTAAAGGTCATGCTTGTGTCACTGCACAATTCCTGCTACCTACGCGCTGGTACACAGACTTCTGGGTGCAGTTTCTCGAAAATGTTTAACTTTTGGGTACAGTTTCTGTGGAAAAAGTCAACTGTTATGTTTCCATCTATGAAAATGTTAAACGGATGAGTATTTTGGTTCTTTAATTTCTTCATTGTTTGATTAATTGGAAACAACACTTTGTGTCGTCCCATTCTATTAGGACTCACACTCGTGAGTATCAAATCTAAATCCCACTTTTAATCACACGTTTGACTTAAAACCGAATTGAACTCCGCACGGTCCAACTAACATAAATTCTCGCGGCTAGCAGTAAAGAAAGGTATGGTATTAGATAGAACCAATTCCTAGATCTTGGGACACTCGAGATTTGCGAAATATTTGCATTATTGTGGCCTGAGAATTCTTCGAGACAGTATAAAACAAATAGATAACCTGAAAATAAAAAGAAAGGGGAGAAAGAACGCTTTTTTTTTTAAATTTTTTTTTAGTAAAGTTGACTTAAACGTCTTCGATAGTGACACAGGTAGAAATAAAAACCCAAAATGGGTGACATCTGTCTCCAGCTTTTAGCATCGTGCAAGTGTCATTGCAACTTTCAGTTTGACGAGTCTATTTGTCCGCTATGACGTTTTTCGTATAGTACATGAGCAGAGTAGCACCCATAATTTCGCTAGGCCAGGTGTACTTCTCTCTCCCCCCCTCCCAAAAAAAGAAACAATTACAGACGTTTATAGTGTAGTGTTCCAGCCTTTCAGGAGTCCCTTTGCCTAAGCAGTAACACGCGCCGTTGATAGCGAGCTTATCACACGCGGGGCAAAATTGCTGAATGCTGATTGGCTGAGACATAGAGCATTTTTCTCAATCACAAGGGCACTTTTGGTAATCAAGAGGGATAATTACTTGATGCTGATTGCGACTATTTACTATTTGCGTTAACGATTGATTGCAATTTAACTGAATGAAGCCGCGTAACGTTGAAAAGCGTATTTTGGGAATAAAATGTTTATTAAATCTTTGGTTACGTTTGTTTTGACATTTGTGGCGGCATTGAAGGGCTCCATCGCGCGCCGACAGCGTGCGCGAATGCAACTACCTCAAAAATTTGCCTTTTATGTGATAAACAAGTAAACGCAAGTGCCCTCGGGCGATTCAGGATTTATTTCACTTGTAGTTTCAAAGTTTTCCCAAAATTGCCCTCGTCGCATCGCGACTCGGGTAATTTTGGGAAAACCCCGAAAATACAAACGAAATTAATCTTGAATTGCCCTCGGACCCATGCCATTACATTAACTAACGGAAAAGTAGTTAACATCACAGTTCATCATCAATATCGGTTGCTATTCTTGAGATGTGCCTATTACTAAATGGTTGTTTGGGTCGGGAAATAGGCGGGATAGGCAAATCTTTGGAGCCAGTTAAAGAGAAACCAGTTAAAAATGAATAAATTTTAAAGAAACTTTAGTTCACAGAAAATTTGATACAGCGCATCTACCTTTAGGCTCATCTTACAAAACGTTCACAACAGTAAATAAAAAAGATCACTAAAACTGTACCAGTGGCGTAATAAAACTACAATGTTCAGCAACCTCGGTTTCATTTTCATCCCGGTATTCTGGTATTTTCAACGCATCAGTTCTACAAGTTCGTTTCTAACCAATAGCATACGCACTCCTCGCGTTAAAAGGCGCAAAGGGCCGTGTTTCTAATTCATGTTTGCGGACCGATGTTCTTCTGTCTTTTTTGTCAGCTATAGATTAATGTATACTGCTGGTTCGAACCAAAAATTTGCCACCCTGACACAGATTGTGCAAAGAGTAAAACTAGCACGAACAAATGCTATTTTTAACACCTACTAAAAATGAACTCTTTCATGTACAAGCAAATACACTTCACTAACAACACTGCTAAGCATAAGACGAAGAAAAGTATGTTAAGTGTTTGAATTCTTGTGTCCCGACCAAAAAATTTTAGTAAACTTCTTACAGTCTCTACCGACAAATAAAATGAATTTTAACACGGTTGTTTCTCTTCAACTGTGTCCTTATCCTAATTTCTAGCTCTACGAAGTTCTATCCACGCATTCAATAGAAAGGGAAAAAATGGATGGGAGAGAGACTGGCTAAACATCTAGCGAATTCTGTCCTCACCGTACAAGTTAAATGCTACTCTTATCGTTGTTAAAGAACCGCTCTCTACCAAGCCCTTGCTTAAGTCGTTCGTCCAGCGACCTATTTCGCCCGCGTGATTGTTAACGGTAAGACTGAATGTAGTTAATGAGCTGCTGTTCGCCAAACCATCACCCACACCGCTGGCCCAGAGTCCCATGTCTTCAGCGTGATTGTTAACTGTGAGACTGAATGTAGTTAGTGATCTGCTGTTCGCCAAACCATTACCCACACCGCTGGCCCAGCGTCCCATGTCTTTAGCGTGATTGTTAACTGTGAGACTGAATGTAGTTAATGATGTGCTCTTCGCCAAACCATTAGCCACAAAGCTGGCCCAGTATCCCTCGTCTTCAGCGTGACTGTTAACTGTGAGACTGAATGTAGTTAATGATGTGCTCTTCGCCAAACCATCACCCACACCGCTGGCCCAGTCTCCCGTGATGTCTTCAGCGTGATTGTTAACTGTGAGACTGAATGTAGTTAGTGATCTGCTGTTCGCCAAACCATCACCCACACCGCTGGCCCAGAGTCCCATGTTTTCAGCGTGATTGTTAACTGTGAGACTGAATGTAGTTAGTGATCTGCTGTTCGCCAAACCATCACCCACACCGCTGGCCCAGTCGCCAGTGATGTCTACATCGTGATTGTTAACTGTGAGACTGAATGTAGTTAGTGATCTGCTGTTCGCCAAACCATCACCCACACCGCTGGCCCAGTTTCCCATGATGTCTTTAGCGTGATTGTTAACTGTGAGACTGAATGTAGTTAGTGATCTGCTGTTCGCCAAACCATCACCCACCCCCCTGGCCCAGTGTCCCGTGATGTCTTCAGCGTAATTGTTAACTGTGAGACTGAATGTAGTTAGTGATCTGCTGTTCGCCAAACCATCACCCACACCGCTGGCCCAGTCTCCCATGATGTCTTCAGCGTGATTGTTAACTGTGAGACTGAATGTAGTTAGTGATCTGCTGTTCGCCAAACCATGACCCACACCGCTGGCCCAGTCTCCCGTGATGTCTTCAGCGTAATTGTTAACTGTGAGACTGAATGTAGTTAGTGATCTGCTGTTCGCCAAACCATCACCCACACCGCTGGCCCACTTTCCCGTGTTGTCTTCATCGTGATTGTTAACTGTGAGACTGAACGTGGATGTTGTCGCAGAGCTTAATAGTTTGATGACTTCAAGGTATGTGGCAGTCTTTCCATCAACTAAAAACGTGGCCGACGCTGACGAAACATTGGCGAGAGTATAAAAACCACTTAAAAAGTGATCCTCATCAAGACCATTCAAGTGCACTGAGACAGAATGCTTTTGACCCTCTTGAACTAATCTCTGAAGAGCAGTTCCTTCGTAGCTTCTGATTTCACCACTAAGGTTAATAATACTGTGTGAGGACAGTGAATTGTTAGCCAGAAAATAGTCTACGAGACAATCCACGACTTCATTGCTTTGTTTACTTTGGACATTCAACTGCAAACCAGATAGTGGCGAACTTTCCTTGAAAAACTCTGTAAGGGCTTTTAAGCTGTGAACGCTCAGTTCACCACAGACGTTCACGGTTAATGACTTCTCTAGTGGGGCATCACCTAGAATAGGATAGGGCAGCAAACCTGCTTCATATTTAATTTTCCCGCACACATTTGGATGAATAATAAGAGACTTCCATGACTTATTGGCTGCCAGTACGGTAGCAACAGCTGCCATCCACGCTTCTGGGATATCTCCGTAAACCTTTAACTCTAAAGAGTGCAAAGTTCTATTTCGCAGAACACCTTTCTGCACTGCTACGATTCCAGGGTTGCTAACTCTTCCATAAACGACAAGACTAAGAGACTCCACCGCGGTTTCTTCTGCAAGTCCTTCACTAACAGTCGACATTAAACAGTCATTCTGATCCCCATGAACAATAAGCACGAGAGAAATTAGCGATGATTTGAATAACGCTTTCACGGCTTGTGCAGCAGTGTTGTTCAGAACACCAAAGACTTCAAGCGAAAGACATTCCAATTGCGAGAGATTCGATAACAAGGTACTAACATTACTGGCGCACCTCTCAGTACTCACGTCAAACAGTTGTAGCGTGGCTGTTCTTAGTGAAGTGCTTGACGACAAACTCTCAGCGAACAGATCTGCAACATCAGGGGACATGTTCTCGATATTACCAATGACAAGCTCTGTGAGAGTTTGACTGCTTCCGAGAATTCCATGGAGATCGTTCACATTGTCTTTACTGAAAAACTGCACGTCCGACAGGCTCAGTTTAGTAAGCTGCACTGATGCCACATCACCTTCGAGTATGGCGCCTTCGCACACATATCGTATAAGTTTCAACCAAGACCGCTGGAGCTGATCCAACTTCAAAACGTTTGGTAATGGAATAAGGGAGCAGGCAACTTTGCCTAAATCGTCTGCAGCACCACTCTCTTTTAAAAGCTCAAGTAAGAACTCACACTCTGCGTAGTCCCAGTGCAAGTCTTCTCTTAAAATCGTTACGATCTCTTTGAAAAACACCGTTCCTTCCCTGCCTAATATGCCAGCTAAAAAGAAAAATACTTCTTTGTATCTACCTAACATACTTTCTTTGCGGAAAACAGAATGATCAGTAAGGTTAAGTTGTCTCCTTGACAACTGGTTCGCTAGGTAAAAGGCAGCTAAAAACTCTTGAAATGTTTTGTGAAGAAAATGACACTGATGTCTTGGTTCCTGACTTGGCCTTGAACTGGCTTCCATGAAAACAAGGCCCAATTTGATAGCTGGAAATCTTCTCACATGGGTCCTCGAATGTTCTAACTTGTCCAGTTCCTCTTCCGAAAACGAATGGCGGTCTTCTCGAAGACAATTCCACGCTAACTCCCCTAGCACAAGTAGGGACTCTTTAAATTGATTCTCTAGGGCTTTGTCGGCATTCCGATGAACGTTCAAGCCATTTCGGGAGCAATATCGCCTCAACAAGCATCGAAAAATAATCTGATAAAGCTTAGTGCGATTAGATGGTAGTTCCCCTTCAAAGTCTTCAAAGACAACGCACAAGAGAAGTAGATTCAACGGATTGCTTCTTAGCACACTTAGGTGAGTATTTGTTTGAACAGCTTCAATGAGCCTCTCGCCTTTTGACAAATTTTGTGGATCAACGCTTTTAAAATGCTTTCTGACGTAATCTGTAGCGTCCTTTGAGGTGAACCCTTTAATCTGCAAAAGTGTATCAAAGTCATAGCGCCGCCGGACATCGATTCCTTTTTCTTCGCGTGATGTGGCCAAAATAAAACAGCGCGAGAAAACTTTTCTTCTAAATAGCCTATCTACGACTTTTTCTGATGCCTCTGGTAACTCATCAAGGCCATCTAAGATTACTAGAATCTTGTTCTGGTTCCTTTCATCCCTGATGTAATTCAAAAAACGTTTTTTATTTTTCATGTCATCATGCAGAAGTTGCTCATCGATGGCTTGTACTATGTCTTTAATATCTTTGTGAATATCACAGCATGTAAGAAGGAACACCCAATGAAACATGGGGAAATGAAACTCAACTGGTACTAATTTTTTGGCCCAATCACGCGCAATTTTAAGGCAAAATGTAGTCTTCCCAATCCCAGGGTTTCCTTCTACAAGTACCATTCTGGCGCCCTTTTCACCCTCCCTAGCAGGTTTGAAAATTTCGTACATGTGAACCTCCTCCTCTGTTAGCTTAAAGCACGCCTTCTTTCTCCATTTCATTTGTAACCTTGTGTAGACTTCATCAATAGGTAGTTGAATGCGGCAGTCCCACAGCAGTGGTTTTAGATTGGAGCGTCTGATGTATTCACCTTCAAGGTGTTCCACAACTAGACAATGATCAGAACCTGCAAGTAAACAACACACTTCGTTCTTGAACGCACATGTCTTTGAATAAACATTAACGTTAATCACTGAGATTAAAATGACAAGAGCAGCGAATGACTCATTCAAAGATAACAGAAGGCTTGTTATGTGCAGGCTTCATGCAGCTGTTCTTTAAGGGCAAAAAGAAAGGGTGGAAAGTTTTGAAAAAGCGCTGGATTTTCAACCAATGGCGTTGTAAGACTTCGGAAGAAGTTTACCTTTAAGGCGCTTCACAGATTGAGTGGCTGCGGAGGAGGAACTTCGTTTAAACTTTTCATTTGAAGCTTGCCTGGAGTTGTTTACTACGTCATCTAGTAAAGAAAAGTTTAATCACCAAGATTAAAATGGCGCGATCGAGCAGCGAATGACTCCTTCAAAGATTTCAGAAGGCTTGTT